CAAATTCTTCCTGAATTCAGGGGTGTCGCAGATTCTGAGGATCCCACCTCTATTGGTACCTGCTTCAACTAGGGCAACACCCACCCCCTTATATTCTTTCATATACTGATTATTCTTGTGACTTTGTGTTGGAGAAAAAAGCAAGGTCCTATCACTACTAACAAAGGATAATTACTGAGGACAGCCTTATCTTTGAATTGTGTAATAACTTAAACTTCCATTCTCTTGTAGGCCTTGAAACCCAAATTAAGCATGGAGTGACTCTTTGTTAGATTTTGAAGGGGAATGTTGGCTTGAGTTAGTAACTCCCTTGCCTGAGGATATGAAAGAGGTGAACTTCTCTGCAGCTTCAATGTTGAGGCAAACTTCTAGTTAACCTACTGTGTTGGGAGGAAGTCATTATGGAATACAAAAGTCACCAAAAGTTTCCAATTAGAAAAATTCCAATAAAATCTCTTTATCTTACAAAAGATAAATCATATTTTAGGCGGTCTGTATTCTGATTCAAAGTCACTCAGCCATCTTCAAGGCATTTTTTTCCTTTTAGAATTATGTTGCCATTGGGTGAGTTTCAAATGCCATTTTTGGGGGAGGAGGACTTGGTACTAACTTACTTTTTCTTAAGGTTGAATTTTATTCCTCTTATATTCAGGTAACTGTTAATCTTTTCTTTTTAAACAAGCATAAATAGATGACTGAGAGCAGGAATATTTTTTCAATTTAGTGGAGAGAGTTTTCTCATATTGAGATATTTCATCATAGGGAATAGTAGGTTAAGTCATATCTAAACTATTCTCAGATATGTGATAGTAATTAGCTAGATAATACTTATTTTATGATGTCAGGGGAGCATATTCTCTATTTGATATGCATCAGTTTTAAATATTTTAACCTAGTACCTTGGTAATTCATCAGAGAGATATTCCTACTGGCAAGAGTACTGAGTACTAAGTCTTCTCCGTATGTGTCAAGACTGAGCCACAATCACGAACTTCAAAATGTTTTGAAAACTAAAAGATTTTTAAAAATAAAATTCATTGAGGATCCATTTAGTCACTAATCTTTAATATGAGAGAGAGAAACTTGCATTCCAGGTAGATGTGTTACAAGGCACAAATATGGAAAATACTACTTTCCATCTCAGACCTCAGTATGGAATGAGGTGCATACATAGATATCTGTTATCTTTCATACAAAATCTTAGTCAGATGTCCTTTAGAAATTTGAAAATCCAGGATTTTGAAAGGTAATAAAGAACCTATACACTAAATTATATTACAGAACTAGTAGGGTTCGGTATTGTCTCATAAGTAAGTCCCTTACATTTGGACAATATTATGGCTGGAGCGATAGCACAGTGGGTAGGGCATTTGCCTTGCATGCAGCCAACCCAGGCCAACCCAGGTTCAATTCCTCCACCCCTCTCAGAGAGCCCGGCAAGCTATTGAGAGTATCCTACCCACATGGCAAAGCCTGGCAGGCTACCCGTGATGTATTCAATATGTCAAAAACAGTAATAACAAGTCTCACAGTGGAGACGTTATTGGTGCCTGCTCAAGCAAATTGATGAACAACAGGAGGACAGTGCTACAGTCAGGTGGAAAAATAAAAATAATAACTCTCTCAAAATAATAGTCTCTCAATTCAGGTCTGGTTTTGCTTACAGATGATCTGAAAAAAACCTTTAGAGTTTTAGAGATTTGATGTTTTAGAGTTGTAGTTAAGATTTAGTTAAATAGTATATCTTGGGTTGGTGAGGTATGTGTGTACTAATATGCAGAGAACTTTGAGTTCAGGCTCCATTGACCCTCATCCATTGTTGGAGTTCTCTAGTAGAAGAGGGAATAGGAGAAGGATTTTGAGAAATTGGGCAGCGGTGGATTGGGATAAGGATATTGTTCCATAAGGTTATATTAGAGATAAACGGAGTCTCACTAGCCTGTATGTACTGGCCCAATAATTGAAAGCATGGAGAGTTTTTCCAAGGAAGGAAAATTAGCAAAATTTCAATAGATTTGGGAAGCAGTGGGCAGAAATGAGAGGAGGAAACAATGAAGACAGGACAGGGGTCAAAAGTGATATCCATATTTGAGCTTAAGTAACTAGGAATAGAGAACAAATATATCAAGGGGAGACCAGTTTTTTTTTGAATTATTAATCTATTACTAATGATTTTCAATGGGGTAACCAGATAAGCTAGATCCAGTGAGACTTTGAAACTGTTTGTAAAACTGGAGCCCCTAAAAGAAGGCAGAGTGAAAGGAGAAAGCTGGAGGACAGAGAGAGGAATTGTCCAAGATCCAAAGGGAAAGTTGGATTATTGGAAGAATGGAAACTTAGAAACTAGGAGTGAGGGAAAAGGAGAAGATGGCAAGCCCAAAGACACTGGATAAGCTCTGAGTGGTACCTCTTCCAAGAAATGTAGCTTCAAGAATGTGGGCCACTGATGAATGAGGACTAGAGCAAACGGCCATGAAGCACCTGGACTGAGGGCAAGACAGTCACAATGAGGAAACAGCTGAGATTCAGTTCCAGACTGATGAGTCCACAGTCCCTGCCCCAGGTGCTCACACAGTTCTGAGCATCATCACAGTCACCAGGAGTGTTTTGTTCTTTAGCCTGAATGCTTCAATTGTTCTGAGAAGGATCCTGATTTATTTGAAATAATTGACTGAAAACAAAAATACATTTGATTTATGGGCAGGTTGAGTTCAATTAGTATCAAGATAATTTTCTGAGGCAAAGAAATTGGTTTTGTTTTTCTTATAACCAGTGGCTAGATGAGCATTAATTTTAAACCTGTGTATGTGGGATAGAAGAGCTTTGTGAGTTTTACAAATAATGAAAACAAATTATGTGCATTTAAAAAATTGACCTTCTAGTTTGTTCTCTGTCCTTTTTTTTCTGTCCTTTTCTCTTAAACAAAATGCAGTGCTTACTCTAAAGAGCCAATTGGTAAGCCACCAGACAGAGCAAAGGTTGGCCTCTGTAGGGCGAGATGGTACAGCAGGACGGCTCTTGCCTTGCATGTGGCCAGCCCAGGTTCAATCCCTGGAATCCAATATGGCTCCAGGAGTAAGACCTGTGCACCACTGAGCACGTCCCTCAAACTAACAAAAAAATGTTGATCCCTGAGTCTAATACAACAAGAAAATAAGTCAGTGGGAGAAGCCAAATAGAATCTTATGTTTAACATTATTTAAAATATTTTGGGTTGATGAGATAACTCTTAGATGTATAGCACTGCCTTGCTTGCATGACGCCCAAGTGTTAGCTTCAGCTTTGCATGGCTTCCATGATGCTGTCATGTGTTTTCCTGGTGGCACCAACAGCACTGGACCTGGTCACTGAGCTGGCAGGCATGCACGTTGAACTCTTGGTAGTGGTCTCCAGAACCTCAAGCACTCTGTTGGTAAGGCTTACCCAAAATGAAAAACAACTTTTGCTCCACCAATGGTCACAACTGAATGCCAGGAACAACACCAGGACGTTCAGGGATATAATGTCCACATTAAAGGTTGTATAGCCTAGCAAGGAGATGGGGTGATGGAGCTTTCTTCCACAGTCATGGCCCAGAGATAGAAGCATTGGGTAAGTAGCCTTTAGTAGCCTAAATGTGTGCTAGAGGCTGAAGACTCTTGGGACTTGGGAGATGCTCGGGACAAGTAGATAACAACTAGTGTGTCAATGAAGGTTGATGAGAAAAGCATGATTAGAGCATGGGACCAATATGCCAGGCAAAAGGAATTAGGTGCCAGCTACACAATAGACCAGCCTCAAAATGTGGTATGAAATGTGAGCCCCGATGGGGCCTAGGATTGTGTGGAACCTAAAAAATTAGGGCAGAGAGATAAGCACTAATTTGGGCAGAACCTTCTAGTCATACTAGGATTGACCTCCAGTTGGCACTGTTCTAGAATGCTTTCCTGTCGGGCATTTACATTTCCAAAAGTCGTTCGAAGGCATGAAGGTGGTTGAACCACCAGTTCAATGCATTCACTACCTACTGAAAGTGATACCATTCTTTCTTTCAACATTTATTTTTGGATCCAGTTCCAACTTATAAAGTATCTTTTTGTGCCATGCCCTGCATTTGTGATGTGTGGATCCGCTTGTCTTCTTGCTTTGTTGTTGATTGTCAGCAAATCCCATGAAGGTACAATGTATTTAAGTCAAAGGACTTTCTATTGATTTAAATGTTCCTGGCAAAGCTCTGGGAAATGTTGCACCCACTGCTTGTGTGCCTGTATAGTCATAAGCTTTTGTGTTATGATTTTTTTACAAACGCCATTTATGTTTTTAGGAAACTACGTGATTAGAACCAAAAGATCTCCGACCAAGTTCTTAGACAAGTTCTTCCCTTTACACAATAAAGATTTTTTACCCTAAAGCAGGTGAAGTCCCATATCACTTAGCTTGTCTTGTCCGTCAGGGCTAGAATATGGGCTTTATTTTATTTTAATTTTTTAGAGTTAAAAAACAAGAATTCAGTATTAGGTGTACATTACTGAGGAGACTCCGTGACATCTTTGTTCCTTCTGCATTCATGCTTCTCCATGGTTCTACCACTCTCTCCCAGTCCCTCCTAGCGAGCTTTACATTCACATTACTCTAGAATCTATTTCATCCAGTTAAGGTGTGTAGTGAGGATACTCTGCTCAGATCCCGAGACTGTTAGATTTTTATTGTCTATTGAAGAACTTGTCAAGAACTTGGTCTAAGATCTTTTGTTTCTAATTACTTAGTTTTCTAAGTAATTAGAAACAAAATTTTTATTGTCTATTGGCTCTAGCCCCATCTGTCTGGCAATAATAAATAAAAATGGTTGATAAAGCTAGTCATCCCACTGCCTCGCATGGAATGGACACATGTCACACGAATTACAAATCTTTAGAGAAAAAATACATGTTTTTAGTTGTTTCATAAATGAAATTCTGGGCCTCCCTCTCCCAGGTCCAGCAACACCATCCTCTGTGTGAGTAGGTCTTACTGTTTTGCAGACACCAGCTCTATTCGCAGCTTGCAGACTGGCGTGGGAGAGTTGCATGGGGAAACCAGATTCTGGCATGGGAAGGACTACTGCAATTTTGTCTTCAAGGACTGGGTTCAACTCGATAAACCTTTTGCTGGTGAGTACCATGGCCATGGGTAGTTGCTTGTATCTTGTGTCAGAATCTCAACAAATAGGTACAAGCCTGGTTTAATAGCTTTTGCTTTGTTTTATTTAAGTATTGGGCTGGAGCGATAGCACAGTTGTAGGGCATTTGCCTTGCATGCAGCCAACATGGCCGACTCGAGTTCGATTCCACCGCCCCTCTCGGAGAGCCTGGCAAGCTACCGAGAGTATCTCGCCCGCACAGCAGAGCCTAACAAGCTACCCGTGACGTATTTGATATGCCAAACACAGTAACAACAAGTGTCATGATGGAGATGTTACTGGGCCTGCTCGAGCAAATCGATGAACAATGGGAGGACTGTGTATTTAAGTATTAGGTAAAGATTGGAGAGTAAGATTCAATCCTGTTCTCAGACTTTTTCTTATAGTAAAAAAAGAAGAACATGAACGAGACCCTTCTTCTTTGAAATGTCCATGCTCCCTGTAGGCATACTTGAGGGTAATAATCTGTAATTCTCTAAATATAATAACTTCCCTTTGATCACCTCCTTTGCTGCTTTCCATTTGCATCTTCCAATACTAGAAAGGCGCATTTAAGAGGATCACTGTATTTGTTTGCCTGAGAGGAGATTCAAATGGCCCTGTGTGTATATCCTGCTGTTATTTCAACAAGACCAAAAGGAAAAAAAATGTAATATCAAGTAAACAGCTGTGGATCAGTTGTATCAACTCTTGCTTTGTCTAGTGATTACTAAGTGAATGGAAATAGATTTGAAGTCCATGGTGGACTGTGTTCCCTAGTGTGAGAACTACATTTCCCTTGGTTATAAATGTATTGCTCTGTCCAAGTAATATACACATGGTGGACATGACCATATTTCCTTTTATCTGTCAAGTTTGAGCCACTGTTGGGGTTGGCTTCTGTCCCTGGTATACAGGTCAGTGACCATCCTTGTCCGGCACTCCCGGACAGATTTTATTGACAGGCACTCCACCCCTCGGATGCCCTGGCACGACATTGCCTCTGTCGTGCACGGGAAGGCAGCTCGGGATGTAGCTCGACACTTCATCCAGCGTTGGAACTTCACAAAGGTACCTACATGACTTAACCATGACCATCATTTCATGAAGAGAAAGGGAATCTTTCTGGTTGGCAAGAAAGGGCTGCTCTGATGGTGGTAGCCTCACCCATAAGCTCTAGGGTGTCCAGTGCATCTGACGTGGGCCTCTGGCAGAAGAAAAATAAACTTTCCTGAATTTTGATACCACAGACCACTCAGAGCACTAAAGGTGAGGTGCAGCTGTCAGGGCCTACGCGTTTAACCCACTACACATCTGGGAAGCGAAGTGACCTGGCTGTCATGAAGGACTGTTCCCTACAGGTTGGAACCTTGTGTAGAGGACAGCATACAAGCTTCATAGTCCTCCCCAGCCTGGCCGCATTCTGGAGTCCAGGGTTCTAAGAGTTGGTTGATTCAAGTGCGCAGTAGGAAAAGGAATCTTTGCTCAAGATTATTTTTTCTTTGTCTTCAGTACTGTAAAAAATTTGAGTTTTTGATAACCTGTGTTAAGTTCCTCTTTTCTAGGGACGACCAAGATTCTATTCTATTTTCTTTTGGCCAGTGGTTTACAACTGCTGACCACAACTGTGAAAGGTTGAATGAAACTCCCATTGTAAATGATAAGGAGGCATTTTCCTCCTGATAATCTTGGGGAAAAAAATTTGTTTTATCAACGGCTTAGAGTTTGACTTTATTTTTCATTATGTAGCATTAGAAAATTATAGTGAGTATACTGCATATTAATAGAAATATTTTAGCAAAACATATGGGCATTGGTAAATAAACAACGAAAGGATTTTATTTTAAACATGCTATCAAGTAAAGGCATAATTTATAATAGACACTTAATTTTTTTTTAAAAAATTGCTGATATGCTAGGAGGGTCTGCTTGGGATGGGAGATGTGGACTGAAAGTAGACTATAGACCGAACAGGTTGGCCACTTAATACCTCTACTGCAAACCACAACACCCAAAAGGAGAGAGAGAGCAAAAGGGAATGCCCTGCCACAGAGGTGGGTTGGGGTGTAGGGGACCGGGACAGGGGTGGGAGGGATGCCAGGACCATTGGTGGTAGAAAATGGGCACTGGTGGAGGGTTGGGTATTCAACCATTGGATGACTGAAAGTCAAGCACGAAAGTTTGTAAATCTGTAACTGTACCCCACAGTGATTCACTAATACAATTTTTTAAATGCTGATACCTGCAATTGGTTTTGGAATTTTGGGTACTCCTGTACCCTGTTCCTGGAAAGTTAATTTTCAAACTATCAAGAAGCTTCCTTAAAAAGTATTCAACTCTTGGCTTAGAAAATATATTTCAGGTATGTAAAAAAGTGGTTTAAGAAGTTGATGCATTTGATGTTTCCTCTAATAACTAAAAATAAACAGAACTAAGGTGCCCTTTAGGAAGAACTTACTTTACTAAGTAAGAACTTTAGTAAGTACAGTACTATACTGTTTTTATGAGATATCTACAATAAAATAAAGGAATACTGTTTACCACAAAAGAGTAAAAGAGATAACTGGAAACAAATAAAATGTATACCCTTTTCTCCTAAAAATCCCAATGGTTGTTACTGTTCTTATTCCTTTTTATAATCACAAAGTAGAAAAGAATAAAACTGGTTTAATTCTAATTGGTTTTTAAATTTTATTTATTTTAGATTATGAAATCAAAGTATCGATCCCTTTCTTATCCTTTTCTACTTCCAAAGTCTCAAACAACAGCCCATGAATTGAAATACCAAGTGCCTGGGTCCGTCCATGCTAAAGTACAGGTGAGTCTAATTTACCTTTCTTTCAAAGTGCTATCATGAGCAATACCACAGCGGGTAGGGCGTTCGCCTTACAAATGGCCAACATGGCCGACCCGAGTTCGATTCCTCCGCCCCTCTCGGAGAGCCCGGCAAGCTACCGAGAGTATTCAGTATGCCAGACACAGTAACAACAAAGTCTCCAATGGAGACGTTACTGGGCCCGCTCGAGCAAATCGACAATTAATGGGAGGGCCTTCAAAGTGCTATCGAGTAATTCTTCTTATTGAACCAGTCCCCTATTGCACTGGGTCCTGATATGTCAATCCAAACTCCCAAACAAACCTGATGGATCTTTTAAAAGGTAGAGTTGAAATGTAACATCTCATGAGCACGTTATAGTTCAATCTGTTGCTAATTCCTAATTAACCAATTGCCTTTTAGAGGCACATTTAATAGCACAAGTAATAGAATTTACTTAATAGAATCAGAGAATTTTATCACTAATAGTCTAGTGGTCTCAAATTAAAAACAAGAAAATTCAGACCCATTGAGACTACAGGTCTGTTCCAAGGTCACCTCATTGGTCATCATTTGAAGTAAATAAAGTAAAGTAAAGGCCCTCCCGTTGATCGTCGATTTGCTCGAGCGGGCCCAGTAACGTCTCCATTGGAGACTTTGTTGTTACTGTGTCTGGCATATCGAATGCATCACGAGGAGCTTGCCAGGCTCTGCCGTGCGGGCGAGATACTCTCGGTAGCTTGCCGGGCTCTCCGAGAGGGGTGGAGGAATCGAACTCGGGTCGGCCATGTTGGCTGCGTGCAAGGCAGACGCCCTACCCGCTGTAGAGTTTGAAATTTTAGTGTAGTCCAGAGTTATTCGTCATGCTCCCTCTAACAGCTCCAGTTCAGTTATCTGTGGCCATCCACATGTAGAACTGGAAGGACTACCAGCAGCATTGCCTTTTGTTTATAAATGATCACTATCAGCAACTAAAGTGTTGTTCAAGAAAACAGGCAATCATCTGCTACTGATAGTCACTAATTTGGATTTGCATAATTTAAACATGGAATATGTCCTGTGAATATGATTATGAAAGAGAAACACCTAAATGAGTTTCTTGGTACTATGTGCAAACAAAGGTGTTCACTAATAAAAAGACAATTTAGACCCGAGATCAGATAATAATTAAGAAGATATACCACCTGAGAGAAATGCCTATGGCAAATACTCAGTCATCCTAGACTACAAGAGACAACTAATTTAAATGTAGTGCAAAGAGAGATATACATTCATATGAAGTTAATGAATATTTTATGAACCTGTTTAATTATATTCTACTTGAAGGGAAAAATTGCCCATACTGTCAGGTAAAATAAAAGTACTAATATTAAGAAAACAAGGGAATTTAAGATTTGAGGTGGCATTTAAATTGACTTTGTGATCAATTTATCAAAGTTAGGATATGCTAATTAATCATCTGTTGGAAATATGCTGGCATAGCGTATTTTTATCATCAGCAGAGAATAATTTATCCTGGTGTTGCATTTATATCATCTTTTGATACCTGTTGGTAAAGCTCTACTTTATGTTCCCTTACTAATGCCCTGATGCCCTGGTAAGGAGACAGATACTGTGCATTTGCACTCTACTAAGTGCTTCCTTTGTTTCACCTCTGCTTCACTGGAAGTTGTCTTAGACTTGGGGGCTACACCAATAATTTCTTCTGATATATTTACCCCCTGGGCTGGCGCGATAGCACAGCGGTAGGGCATTTGCCTTGCACACAGCCAGCCTGACTGAGCCGGTTCGATTCCTTCGCCCCTCTCAGATACCCCGGCAAGCTACCGAGAGTATCTCGCCTGCATGGCAAAGCCTGTCAAGCTACCAGTGATGTATTCAATATGCCAAACACAGTAACAACAAGTCTCAAAATGGAGATATTACTGGACCCGCTCAAGCAAATCGATGAACAACAGGAGGACAGTGACAGTGATATATTTACCCCTGGTATATGCAAGCAGTCTTGACTCATGAACCTGGGGAGTAGTAGTTTTGCAATAACTTACCAGAACTCACTCACTTACTAATTCATTTGTTCAGTTAACGTGTGTTTCTTGAAGTAGTCTCCTTTACTCAGCATATATCACTATACATTTTACTCCTGAACACACAGAAGAACAGGGGTTCTCTGTCATTGGAATCTTAACAAAGCTAGAGAATAACTGTAATGTTAAATAATTCAGTCCACAGTGCAAAGTAGGACTGGAGCGATAGCATAGCAGGTAGGGCATTTGCCTTGCATGAGGCTGACCCAGGTTTGATTCCTCCGCCCCTCTTGGAGAGCCCAGCAAGCTACTGAGAGTATCCCACCAATACAGCAGGGCCTAGCAATGTACCCGGGGCATATTTGATATGCCAAAAACAGTAACAACAAGTCTCATAATGGAGACCTTACTGGTGCCCACTCAGGCAAATCGATGAACAACAGGAGGACAGTGCTACAGTGCAAGGTGTGGTCTAGGACATATGAAACTGGGGACCAACATACTGTGAGAATAGCCGTAAGAGAAGTGGGGTTGAGTGTGCCTTCTAAGGAGTGGAAATGATGGAGACAATGATGGCTCAGAAATTATAGAGCCAATTGCTTCAGCAAGTCAAGAGGTGTTCAAAGCTAAAATAAGTTGATAGAAGGGAAGATGGGGGATTCCCCAGAATACTGTACTGTTTAGTTTTGTTTGGTCATACCTGGCACTTTTCAGGGCTTAGTCCTCACTCTGCTTAGAGATTATTTCTGTCAGGACTCGGGGGACCCTTGTAATCCTGTTTTGATCCCCAGCTGGAGTATATCCTCCCTGACTCCTCCTTCCCCACCCCCCACCCCCCACCCCAAGTACCAACAGGAATGAATCCTGAGCATCACTAGGAGTAAGCCCTGAGTAGAGCTGAGTGTGGGCCTAAAACAAAAAAAGAGGGAAGGGCGGGAAGGAATGGAGAGGAAGGAAGGAAGGAAGGAAGGAAGGAAGGAAGGAAGGAAGGAAGGAAGGAAGGAAGGAAGGAAGGGAGGGAGGGAGGGAGGGAGGGAGGGAGGGAGGGAGGGAGGAAGGGAGGGAAAATCATGGGGGAATTTCAAGCAACATTCAAATTATACCAACTCGAAAACATTTTCTTACACTTGGAGAAAATGAGTAAATTACTCTACGGGTAGTCAGTGTAGAAATCAGTGTAGATTTCAACGGACAACTAAATTTTTTGTGTTGTAGTAGAATAAAGAGAGCAGATGAGAAGAACATCACTTGACTTCTTTCTAAGAATGTTTCTTGTCTTGGAGTGCTTTTCATCAGTAGTCCAGTTCTTCATGCAATAACACTGCTCTGCATGTCACAGGAGCTCTTAGTTGGTTAAAACCACAATGAATAGGAGAAGCTGTTCTATGACAGCCTGTACTAAACTTTGTGTGATTCTTATTTAACATTCATATCTATCAATTGTGCTCTTTTGATGAGGAAACCAAGACTTTAAGAGGGTAAAACAAAACCCACACACTGTATAAGTGATGGGGATGTCACTGGAATCTAAGTTGTCTTGTTTCAGCACTTGAGGTTATAACTGTTAGACTGTTTCCAGTGAAGTCGAATATGACTTAATCAAGGAAGCTGCACTTCATGCTTGCCCTTTGGTATCACTTTCAGTCACCACAGCCTGAAATTCCTTCCCACCTTTCCTATTGTTTCTTTCCAATTAAACTTTTGTCTCTAGGACTTTTCTTCCCTCAAGTGTCATTCTTCTAAAAGTCTCATTTTTTTCCCTTTTTTTTTAGCCTTAACTTTCTTTTTTAGCCTATTTTTTCAGGCAAAAGGATTGTTCTGTTCAAATAATCACACACTGTGAAATGAATGGATAATGCTTAAGTATTAAATAAAACTATTAAAAGAAAGAACTTGATATTACTAGAAAATTTAAGAAAAAATCTGGATAAATACTAAGAATGTTTTAAAAGATATTCCCCAAGAAGAGATCTCTGTATTTCAGCTCATATATTTAACTTGACCCACTCTATATAAAAGGAGTAGACTATGGATAAAAAGAATGTTCTCTTTTAAGTTTTAAAAAAAATAGGGCATAGTAATACAGATGAATGTATTAGTTGGGAAAATGAATGGTTCCAGTTACAATTTTGAGGCTAACACATAAAATCAGAAGTATGCCATTTTATGTGTGTTAGGATTATACATTTGAACTTGAGGTTGGAAAGTGTGGGGTTAGATTTCATTCTCCGTATTCTTGGGTGGTCAGATAAGCCATATCTCTGCATGTGTAGGAGGAGTTTGAAGCTTCTCTGTTTCATCAGGTTAAACAGGAATGTTAGACAAACTCGGGAGAGAAGTTAAGAATAAATATTAAATTTAAAACCAACTCAAGTAATTAATATGTACTATTTATTTTACTGGGCTGGAGCAATAGCACAGCGGTAGGGCACTTGCCTTGCACGCAGCTGACCCGCCGGGTCCGGATTCAATTCCTCCGTTCCTCTGCCCCTCTTGGAGAGTCTGGCAAGCTACTGAGCGTATCTCGCCCACACAGCAAAGCCTGGCAAGCTACCCTTGACATATTCAATATGCCAAACACAGTAACAACAAGTCTCAAAATGGAGACGTTACTGGGCCTGCTTAAGCAAATTGATGAACAATGGGAGGACCGTGACAGTGACTAATTTTATTACAGTTATTCAAGTGGCTATGAAATAGTATCACATTGGAGTATCTATCTGCATATTCTTATAATGACATTTGCCTTCTTTCTATGTGCTCATGTGTTTTTATCTATTCATGTTGCATGTTTGAAGAAATGTATATTCAATATTTTGTATATTTTTAAATTGGTTTGATTTATATCATTGAGTTTTAAGAGTTTATGTTTTTGTCTTTTGGAAATGAATTTTTATATCTTTGAATTAAACAAATTTTGAAAATGCTAAAGGAAAAACAATTCGTGCTATTTTCTGAATTTGAGAGGAAGACTTAAGAAGTCATCAAAAGTGGTGCCTAAACTTCCTAGAATTTTTCCCAGAGGTAGCCATACTATATCTTGATTTCTACTATATTTCATAATCTTTTTATTCATTATGACATTTTTCCTTCACAGAAGCTCTGTGTTTATAAGACACATTGGCATAAACACACACACAGAGAAAGACAGAGAAAAAGAGGAAGAGAGACAGAGACAGAGCTAGAAACAGAGACGAAGAGTGATCTTAATTATACAGTGGAGAAAAAAGGAGATTTCATGACATTAACATGACTTATTCACAGCAAAAGAGCTCAAAAATTAGACCCATCCTCTAACATGGATCTCAAGAGTTACTGTCTTTCCAGAATGCTCTGCAATTTTATATAGTTTCCATACTTGTATAGATTATATCAGTAAGTGTGAATAAGAGTTAATGGGAGAAAAGTCATAGAGACAAAAATATAGTTGAAGGCTCTAAGGAATCAGAAACAATAGGAAAGTTGGGAAGGAATTTAAGGCTGTGGTGACTGAAAATGATACCAAAGGGCAAACTGAAATACAGACCTTCGTGGTTAGGTCATATTGAACCTCAATGGAATCTTTTTATGCTAGCCTGCATTTAAAATCTTTGAACTTAGCAATAAAATTCAGCACAAATTTGATTAGGGCAGGAACAGAAACTTCTACTTGATCAGCCTTTGTTATTTCTACTGATGAATGATTCATCTCCTTAGAGGTGATAAGAAATCAGTATATTTTTTTCCAGTGGGAATCACATTTTAATTTTTCTTGTAGGTTCTTTTTGAAGATACTTTAATATTCATTTTCAAAATTAAAATTGCACCATTTTATTTCACATAATGACCTGACAAATTTAAATGCTTTGAGAAGGACTATTTTGTATTGCACATCTCTAAAAAATAACATTTAGAGATAATGTAGTTAACAATTTTAATAAGTACTTGATTTGAAATTCACTAGCTGTGTATGTATACAATTACTGAAGATATTGATTTAGGGCTAGACATTTTACAGATCATGCAAGGAGAAAAATTAATTATGTATTAGATCACCTTAGTACTAATTAGTATGGCCATTCATTCCTTTTCAATTTCAGTTGACCTCATGAGGGATTGTTTCAATATTCATTTAAAACCAGGAATAACAAAACAGATTTTACAGTGATTTTCTGAGACATTGTACTGTTGTACTGTTGCATAAGAAAAGTCAGTTATGGGCCTTTATTGAGTACCTAATAAATACTCAGCATTGTTTTTTTTTTAAATTTTATTGAATCGCCATGAGATAGTTACAAGTGTTTATGTTTGGGTTACAATTGCACAATGGTCAAACACCCATTCCTCTACCAGTGCACATTCCCCACCACCAATATCCTCAGTATACCCCCCCCCTTTCCACCCTCCCCCAGCCTCCATGGCAGACAATATTCCCCATACTCTCTGTCTATTTTGGGGCATAAATACCCAGCATTGTAATGTTGTGATGCAATCAGATTTCTAAAAAAGTTGCAACCAGTGTTTTCCCTGTGTTGTAAAAAGCATTCATTCCATGTTATTTTTCACCCATGCACAACTATTCTGAAGTAATAATTTGCTCTGAAGCACCTCTTACGTGAACCATCAATTGCATCCTCTAAGGTTTCCATTAATAAAAGCAAATACTTATATGCCACTCATATTCCAGAAGGTCTCCTTCTTCATACTTCACAGTAATTCATGTAATCCTCTTTACAACTCTAGGAAGTTGAGATTTAGTTCCATAGAACAGAAGTATGAGATGCAAAGATAAGAAACTTGATCGTCCTCAAAGTTAGCAAATGGATAAGCTCAGCTTTGCATCTCGGTGGTCCTGTTCTGTATCAGTGTAATTAACACATACATGTTGGAGCTAGAAGCTCAGATTGTAATTCAGACTGAATTAGAGGTAATTTGAAAAGACTTAGAATATTGAGAATTGAAATCCCTAAGGATCAGTAGTTAATTAAAGGTGGAATCAAGATTGGTTTAATGTATAAATGCTTCTCAGGGGATTTATCAATTTGAAAAATATTTATTTGGGGGGAAAGGAACAATCACATGATCAATTCTGAGCTAGGTGATCATGTTTTCTGGTTCAAATTAAACGTGAAGTGATACTATTAGTAAATATACCAGCCTCATCATGAAAAAAAAAAACCCAAAGTGCTACACCCTACTCATAGTCATCTAAGATACTTCTGTAATACTCTTTGTAGACCTCATGCCTTGTGGTATACAAACTTGAGTGAGAATAATATTGGGAAGATGATTTAAGGTTAAATATATCTAAGAGTAAATTTCCAGCTGGGTTGTTTTGTAACAGATTATGTCCAAGGAGCAGCTGCCTGTTCACCTACACTCCCTTGGTCCACACAGGACACTAAAGGCTACTCTAAGTTATTGGTGGGAAGGAAGGATTGACTTCGTTGTATCTGGTGTTGTCTCCATTGTTTTCTCTTTTCTCATTTCTCCCTTGTAGTTGCTCCGCTCTGCTGCTGATTGGTCTGCTGGCATAAAGTTTCATGAAGAGTCCATCCATGCTGCATATGTGCATGTGATAGAGAATAGCAAACACTACATCTACATAGAAGTAAGTCCTGCTCACGATAAATAGTAGACATTGAACCTTTCCGTAAATATCACACAGTGACTACAGAGTCCCTCAATTAGCATCTACTACATTCATATTTCGTGATGTGATGAGGCGCCAAATGTCCTGAATTCTGACCTCTCCAACATGCCTGACCATCCTTTGCATTTTCATCAACTCATAACTCTTAAAGGAGCCTCCCAAGATCTTGTTAAAATGCACCAACTGACTGTGATTTTCTTAGTCAGGAACAGCCTGACATGAATGTATCTGTTTTGATTTGGCTTGAGTTGCAAGATATAAGTGTGAGACAGTTGCTGTTTTAGGAGACCATATCCAGGAGCAAGTTGCTAAAATTGAGACTGCTGCGTGCCATTGTTGCCTGGGAGGGCTGAGAGATGTGGAAGTGAGACGGCAGGGAGGGAAACAGAAAAGAATATGCAGGACTATTGGGAGCAGATATCACCTTCCTTAGTCCTGTGGAAACTACCATTATATAGCTTTTTATCAGATCCCAGAGTTGGTGTGCAGAGAAGAGAGAAAATCTGAAGAGGCTGTGTCTAGTTTGAGAACCTTAATTGCACTTGAAAATCGATCTATTTCCAGCACTGAATCAGTCCCCTACGTACCACCAAGAATAACCCTGAGCAGTACTGGGTGAGGCTCAAACCATGCCTCCCATATGCACTGCCCCCCAAAACAAAAGTAGGTATATCTAGTTGAGCACACTTAGAAAATCATAAAATATATAATATAATAAAAATACATCAGAACGTATCTCCCATTCTTAGTCTTTCCCCTTCTCCCTCCCTCCCATTGAATTTTCTTTACTGTATGCAAGGAGATGGGTTAGCTGGAAGAAACCCTTCCAGCCCTGTTTTCCTTGTTCCTGAGTCCTGGTGCTATCCTCTCCCACACAATTGCAATTCCCAAAGAACAAGGAGGAAAGAATTGGAGCTTTGTTTCTAGGTTTGTAGAAAGAAAAGGTTTAAAGTGAATGGGCCAAATGCAAGTGTGTCCTGGATGCTGGATGAGAGTATACGATAACAAAAGAACATTAGTAGAAAAATCAACTTATAAACTAAAAATAAAGTCCGGAGTTTGATAATACTATTAATATTAGTGTTATTTGCCTAGATTAGAGAGATAGTACAGTAGTTAGGGAGCTTGAGCTGCATGTGAATGGCTTGGGTTTGGTCCCTTGAGCAAAGGGCCTGAAGTAAGCCCTGAGCACCAGGGTGTGGTTCTAATATATGTATTTATGAGTATTACAAATGTCAACAATTATACTATAATATAATATGTTAACAGCTGGTTCATCCATTTTTCAGGATTCTCTGCTCCTTTTTGGTAGCATTAACTCAGTTGATTTTTGTTTGTTTGTTTATGTTTTGAATGCTACCTAGTACTATTTGATGTCATTACTGCCTTATAGATTCACTGAGGTACAAGCCTGTCTGGCATTACTCTTGACTGCTTAATTTGAGTTAAATCACCAGCCTTCACCCTGCTCTCATCTGCAAAGACGTCAAGGGCAGAAGGACAGAACATGTGGCCTGAGTGTGTTTATAACTCCTGAGGAATGTTAAGCTTCTTCATATGAATTCAGGGAAGCAAACATGGTTTGATTACCACCAAGACTTTAATTGTTGTATGTCTGAAGAGGAACAGATCCTCAAACTAACTTCTGTTTAATGTCTTCCTGTAACTCTCTTCTTGATGCAGTTTACAAATGTATGCAGTGAGCTATTTATATGTATATATTTTATATATTTATATGTAAATACATGTTTATATGTAAATATAAGTATATATAGTCGTAAACATAAAAATGTTGCAACTGAGTGATAAATATTTTGAATCATTGCTTTTACATGTCAACTTGAAATTGACTAATAAATATCACTTTGTTAATGACTTATACCTTGTAATTTACAGGTATAATATAATAACCCATGAAAATAGAACATGTTAAGCTTACAATTTTCTACATAATTTTAACACTCAATACAGCAAATAAAATACATAGCAATTTAATATACATTATAAAATACCATTTTAATAATAGTTTTAATGAATATATGAATAGTGGAAGTCAATGTAAAAAGAACTAAAATATTTTGTTACAGGTTAAAGATACTTTAATATGTGTTATATCCTTACAAAAGAGAGTGAACCTACAAAAGTAGAATTTCAGGAGTAATAACAACCAAACAAGTGAGACAAGACAAAAGTAGATACTAAGAGATAATGGAGAAATATTGAATGAAATAAGACCAGGATCCTGCCACCTGACCTGGTAAAAGAGTAAATCTAGCATGTGACAGATACTTGCCAATGTAGAACTTTTAATCATTAAGTATTTCCGCAATATGTGAATCTGATAAAAAAACAAAATTTCCCTAACTGGTTAAGTTTAAAATGTTCTGACAGTTATGAGAGAGCAACTTGCAAAAACAAACATATGGTAAATAATAGTCTGACCTTTTACTTGACTGAGATTATGTGATAATAGCTGAAATGCATTATTTAGAGGGATGAAGTGTTTATTCTCAGTGTCATTTACTTTCCTGAAATGATTTTAGCGATCAGAATATCTGCTTTGTATAATGGTTTTAAAACTAAATAGTGTTTTTTCTGTACCCCACTACACACACACACACACACACACACACACACACACACACACACATCCAGAGAGAGAGAGATAGAAAGAGAGAGAGAGAGAGAGAGAGAGCTGTGAAGACAAGAACGACTTACATGATCATTTTATTTATTCCTCACAGAACCAGTTTTTCATAAGCTGCGCAGATGACAAAGTTGTGTTCAACAAGATTGGTGATGCCATTGCCCAACGGATACTGAAAGCTTACAGGTAATCTTTTGGCCTTTTGGTAGGAGTTGCTACTGCAGATGTCCCTTGCATTATGCAGAGAAAAATCCACTTTGAAAGTTCATTTTAAAATACTCTTTTCTTAGCAGGTGTGATTTTAGTTGAGCTAGCATTAGTTATTATTTCTTTAAATCTGATTCTGTTAGTAAAGAATGTTTTAGTCCATTCTTCAGGGAATTCGAATTCTTCCATGACACTGTAATTTTTTCCTCTTTCCCATGCACTAGATTTATGGTTTGATTTTTTTTTAGCCAATACTGAGCTGTTGTCACTGAAAAATTAAAGCAAAATAGTTATATTTATGGGTTATATTTCCTTTTATTTCTTTAGCTTGTGAGATTACCTCTTTAATAACATTTTATTAAGATATAAATTCCATACCACTTAAAATGTACAATTCAGTGATTTCTAATATATTTGTGGATTTATTGACCATGAACTAGCTGACACGAGAACATTTTTGTTACTCTGAAAGAAACCCCACACCGATTGCCAGTCACTCTTCAGTCACATCCCTCAGTGCCTGGAAACCATGATTCTGGATTCTTTCTCTGTGGATCTGCCTTGTCTGGGCAGTTATAAAAATCTGAAGCTAAGTAGTCTTTTGGAAGACTTCTTTCATGGTGCATGTGAACCTATAATATAGGTTCATCAATGCTATAAAATGTATTCATTTTTGGGGGCCAGAGCAATAGCACAGCGGGTAGGGCGTTTGCCTTGCACGCGGCCAACCTGGGTTCGATTCCCGGCATCCCATATGGTCTCCCAAGCACTGCCAGGAGTAATTCCTGAATGCAGAACCAGGAATAACCCCTGAGCATCACCGGGTGTGACCCCCCCCCCCAAAATGTATTCATTTTTTGTGACTAAGTCCATTATCTGAGTATGTCGCATTTTATTTATTCATTCTTCAGTTGGTAGATACTTGGGTTGCTTCCACTTTTTACTATTTGAATTATGCTGCTACATACATTCAGTGCTGTGCTAGTTTCTACACAGACATGTTTTTCATTAATTTTGGAGTGGAATGGCAGGATTATTTGCTATTTAACGTTTGAAGAATTCTAAGAATTTGATTGTTCTGTGTCTGAAATTTTGGTCTTTTATTTATCTTGTATTATTTTTACATAATGAAGTAGAAGTTCAGCACTTTTACATATACATATAGAGTTATTCTAGCACCATTCATTCTTGGTATCAGTGACTAATTCCTTTTATAGATAAATTAGTTCTGTGCACAAGAAACAAATAAACAAAGCTTACATTTTTCTCTTTGAATTCATTGAACATAGAATTTAAGTACATCTGGGGATTGTAATATATTTTTAACTTCCATTGTCATGTGCTACTTTTAAACCTTAATTTTTTATATGATATGTGGGGAATTTTAGATGTAAGAATATTTTATAACACAGACCATGAATTTTTTCCACTCAGTTCATAATCACAGACTAACTGAATCTTCACAACTCTCAAAAGAAGATTATATAGGTTTTGTTATGATTGTTGTTATTGCTGTTCCCATTTTTAGATGTATAAATTGATCTTTAAGAGGATGCACAGTTTATTGCAACCTCTAATAAAAATGAGAAAAAATAGATTTGAGCCAACATCTTTGGATTTCTAATGCAATACTTTACCCACACTATATAACTCCAGTTCATTGATGTTTAGACTTATAGATCCCTCAGGGTTGGGTCCAGAGAGATAGTGCAGGGCTAAGGCACTTGCCTTCCAAGTGGCTGAACTGCCAGGAGTAATCCTGAGCACAGAATCAGGAGTAAGCCCTGAGAATAGCTGGTGTGATGCAAACCCTGTCCTATAAGAAAGAAAGATCCCTCAAGGTTGTCCCCAAGGAACACAGGTGGATTAAACCTCTGTGTGCCCTTCTTCCAGTGATTTGTCATTGGTTGCTGGCTGACACCAGGGAATGGACGTGATCTTAGATTAGTAAGATTCCTTTTTCACCACTGGGAACCAATTCTTTGAAATGGACTCAATTCTTAGTTAAGTTAGTGGACAATTTACTCAGTATCCAAAAAATTGTCTTGTTCCCGTCATGAGGTCATTGAGCAGCACACCACAGCAGCTACACAGCCAGCAGGGTTCATGTGGGCTCTCACCCTTTATAATATACAGAAATCAACATTGAACTTTTACAAAAATAGATGAGCTGGATTTAGGGAAGCTCTCCTAAGCAGAATCTCCAGATGCAGGGCCCATGAACCTTTATTTTATAATATTCCACTGCAAATTGCAGGACTTAGCCAAGATTGCATCACATCAATATATATGTAGTTATGACCTTACATATCATTAATTATTTTTGCTATAGGTAACCTTTATCCTGTGCAGTTCTATATATTTTTTGAAATCTTCTGAGGAACCATTTCTGAGATGACCTAAAAACATTTCATTTATAAGTTAAACAGATATAGCACAAATTTCTTGTGTCTTTGCCAATTTCCCAGTTATATGCAGCAGTTACAGTTGTATTTGTATTTATAGTTGTATTTATAAAAGTGTATTATCTTTCCATCAACTCTTATATTTCATTGATTTATGAGTATCTGATTTATCTATACAGCATATGTGACCAAAGGAGGGATAATTTTTTCTTATGTAATTGAAACAAGTGGCAGAAATACAGTAAGTTGACAAATGAGCTCATTGTGCTGGCAGTAAATTATGTGTTTTAAACTGTGGTGAACTAGTTAGCAGAGTAGTCTGAACCTTCACCCCACACCCATACCAGCTTTTCATTTCTCTTCAGTCCAGGTTTAATATGTATCTATAAGGTTATTTCAAGTATTTGCAAGTCTTAAAGAATATTTTTCTTTTGTATGTTGACTTTCTTTAAAAATTAAAGTAGTTTAGGGCTGGAAGGAACTTTAAGATATCTTTTGTTTGTTTGAATGTTTCCAGGTGATCCCGGGAAGTGCCTGAGATTAGATGGGGTTGTGTTCAGAGAGCACAGTAAGGGAGCAGCTGTCGTAGATGGTCTCACCCTTGGTGCATCACAGGCAAATTGGCAATTAACACTGGCAATTTTAAGCTTGTTTTTGTTGCAAATGGGAAAGGAGACATAGAACTACAAATGAACTGTGTGCCATTGAGCTCTGATCTCTCAACAGTCTCACTGTCTTTGACAGCCACATTTTTCAAAGTGGTATATCTCACCTTCAAACCTTCAGACAATACATTTGTATCCAAGAAACATCTTTTCTGTGTCTCCCTTCTCTGCTTCTTTACATTATGATCTATGCTGAGTGCTATGGTAAAATAGTTTCACGTAGTAATCTCAGATCTGCTAGCTGGTATCCTTTGGAAAGACAAAAATGAAGAAAGTCCTCTTGCAGGCTGCCTGCGGGGAACTCCTTTCCACTGAGCAACAGGAAATGCCGTACCCAAGATCGCCCCTCTCCCTTCCTTCATTGGCTTCTTAGCTCTTCACCCCACTGAAGCACTTTCCTGCAGTTACATGTTTAGCAGCAAATACAATTCTGGCTGCTGGAAAAAGAATAGATCATAGCACAAAGTAGGTGGAGGGAAATGTCAGTCAGCATTCAGCCTGACCAAAGAACACGGGCTCTCTCCCAGGTCCTTCTTCCACGGAGAAAAGGAAGTTTTACTTTGCCAGCACCCTTAACTGGGTTGAACCTTTGTTATTTTGTCACTGCTGGAATCCTGCATCACAGTCATTCCCTGAAGTAATTTCTCTACTTGCCTCACTTCCTCCTGGCTCCTTCTCAGCAGCCATAATTTTTTATAGGAATAGTTGCTACAGAATCTCTGTGTCCCAACCCATGATCTAGAGTCATAAGTTAGTACTCGTCCCATGCTGAACTGTGAATAGCTGAGTCTCTGAAGAAAACACTTGGGCTGTTCTGATACATAACACTGTTCTGAGTTGTGATGAGCTCTCAATTAAATGAAAACTATGACCACTCAAAATCTGATCAAAAATCAAGAAGAATAAATCCCAATTTGCAGTCTAAAATCAACTGTTTTGATTAAATAAGTTGAAGACCAGGTAGAACAAATTGATGGCAATAAAAAACATACTATATCTTCTTTTCTTTCTTTTAAAGATTTTTTTGTGTGTGATATTGGGATTTGAATCCAAGCCCCATGTATGCGAGGTTTGTGCTTTACCACTGAGCTACATCCATGGTCTCCCAGAAATATATATTAAAACAGACTACCTGGATCAGTGGGCTGGAGCAATAGCACAGCAGGTCGGGTGTTTGCCTTGCACGCAGCCAGCTCGGGTTCGATTCCTCCGCCCCTCTCTGAAAGCCTGACAAGCTACTGAGAATATCCTGCCTGCATGGCAGAGCTTTGCAAGCTCCCCGTGCCATATTCAATATGCCAAAAACAGTAACAACAAGTCTCACAATAGAGACGTTACTGGTGCCGCTCGAGCAAATGGATGAACAATGGGAGAACAGTGCTACAGTGCTACCTAGATGAATGGCTTAGACTGATGAAGCCAGTTTTGCACATGGAAACTTGCTATATATGATTCTGCTGCCTTGCTTAATTTTTTAAATGTCAGAAAGTGAGAGACTGCATTTTGAGGATATCACCAAAATTTTGACAAAAATAATAATGCTTCAAGTTTGCTCATATGAGAGCTTTATGGGAAGTACAGTTGGTGGGTGGGGTTCTGCAATTAGCTGTGGACCAGAGATTCAGAGACCTAGCTTCTTTCCAACTCTGTACATTTTAGCAAGTTTTATAAACACAACATAGAACCAGCTGTTGCAGAACTAATATTTATGTTAGCAACAAAACTGTCTCTATTAGAGATGTTTTCCTACCACTGGGGCTTATTCATCCTGTGAGACACATTTTTTGATGGGGAGATTGTGGTGGGGCCAGGAATTAAACCCAGGGCCTCACACATGCAAGACAAGTGATTTACTACTGAGCCATAGGCTTGGACCCATAGGCACAAAAGTAATGCCTAGATGTGGTCT